ATAATAATAATAATAATAATAATAATAATAATAATAATAAAGTTGGAAGGGACCTTGGAGGTCATCTAGTCCAACCCCCTGCTCAGACAGGAAACCCTATACCATTTCAGACAAATGGCTGTCCAGTCTCTTCTTAAAAACTTCCAGTGTTGGAGCATTCACCACTTCTGGAGGCAGGTTGTTCCACTGGTTAATTGTTGTAACTGTCAGGAAGTTTCTCCTTAGTTCTAGGTTGCTTCTCTCCTTGATTAGTTTCCATCCGTTGCTTCTTGTCCTGCCTTCAGGCTCTTTGGAAAATAGCTTGAGTCCCTCTTCTTTGTGGCAGCCCCTGAGATATTGGAACACTGCTATCATGTCCCCCCTCGTCCTTCTCTTCGTTAAACTAGACATACCCAATTCCAGCAACGTTCCTTATATGCTTTAGCCTCCAGTCCCCTAATCATCTTTGTTGCTCTTCTCTGTACTTTTTCTAGAGTCTCAATATCTTTTTTACATTGTGGTGACCAAAACTGGATGCAGTATTCCAAGTGTGGCCTTACCAAGGCATTGTAAAGTGGTATTAATACTTCACGTGATCTTGATTCTATCCCTCTGTTAATGCAGCCCAGCACTGTGTTGGCCTTTTTGGCAGCTGCAGCATACTGCTGGCTCATATTTAAGTGATTGTCCACTAGGATTCCGAGGTCCCTCTCACAGTTACTACTATTGAGCAAGGTACCCCCTATACTATACCTGTACATTTGGTTTTTCTTGCCTAAATGTAGAACCTTACTTTTTTCACCATTGAATTTCATTTTGTTAGATAGCGCCCAGTGTTCAAGTCTGTCCAGATCCTCCTGTATCCTAAGCCTATCTTCTGGAGTGTTGGCTATTCCTGCCAGCTTGGTGTTATTTGCAAATTTGATGATTTCCCCATCTATCCCCTCATCCAAATCGTTGATGAAGATGTTGAAGAGCACTGGGCCCAGAACAGAGCCCTGGGGCACCCCACTACACACTTCCCTCCATGTAGATGAGGTTCTATTGAGGACCACACGCTGAATACGGCCGGTTAGCCAGCTATGGATCCATCTGGTGGTGATGCTGTCTAACCCGATTTTTCTATCTTATCAAGTAGTAGGTTGTGGTCTACTTTGTCAAATGCCTTACTGAAGTCCAAGTGAATTATATCCACAGCATTCCTCTGATTCACTAATTTTGTCACTTGGTCAAAGAATGCGATAAGATTTGTACAGCCTCTCATCTTAAAACCAAGCTGGGGGAGTAGAGGCTTAAAACTCATATCTATAAACAAAAGGCAATAAAACCTAAAACAGAAAAACCGGGCCCTGCAATCACACTTCACTGATGCAACCCACCATATACTCATCCTGCACTGACCTCACACTGTCTCAGCATCTGGGGGAAGAGCCAGATTTTGAATGGTCTACAGATATTAAAAGGGTAGGGACCCAGGGTTGAGTCAAAGTTGGTTCTTTCCCATCCAGATCCTCATAGCCTCCAGGCACTCAGTTGGCACCATGACGGCATCACCTACCTGGCCAGGAGTAGAGATGTATAATTGGGTATGATTAATATATTGATGATACTGCACCCATCGTGACAAATTTTCTCATCCAGTGGTTTAGATACATACACATATTTTTTTTATTCTGTTTGTATAACATACCCTAAGCTAAAAGGATTTACTTTTACAGTTTTTGACTGGTAGACTTATCATTGGTTTCCCCGGTCTCTGAAATTTTTTTCACCAGTTGTAAAAGAAGGAATTATTTGTGCAATTATGTGAAAGTGCTATCTTCTGGCACAGGCCATGAAGGTGATTTGTAGTTTTGGAACAAAATTAAGATAATGGCCTCTCCCAGGTCGTTGTATGGATGCTCATTTATTGTCCATGTAACTAGAATTAAGAGCTCAGAAGAAGTGGATCCAATTCCAGGACAAGCTTATTTAAGTAATTCATATATTTTTTGTAAAATGCAATTATTTCACCATAAATAATTTTAAAGTGTTTTAACACACCTTTTGATGTTGAGCAGCAGAAGCTTCTATTAGAATACATGGAACAGTGCCTCCTGGGAATCTTTTAATCCCTGGCTTGTTTAAAACTTCAGATAATGGATGCCTACAAATTTAAGACCCTACAAAATTTAAGACTCTTGGAGTTGTGCTCCTATAATTGTTATATTTCTCAAGACCAACACTAGAGAGTTCAGCTACTACACCTTTGAATACAGGCCACTGGATTGATGTAAAATTGGGGGGGGGAGAGAGTTTCCACATCTTTCTTTACAACCTCTTCAGCTTTGCAAAGCATTGGAAAGAGGACAATTCAGCACTGAATGCTTGCAATGTTGAAGAAAGTGAAATGTTTTTTCCTATATTGTGCCCTGTCTTGGGGATGAGATTGAAAGATTCAAAAACCCTTCAAAGAAGAGACGGCTCATACTTGGGAGAAACGGGAAAAAAATTCAAAAGGATTTAGGCTAGAACAGAGGA